TGTTTGACGTTAGCTTGCTGTTTCTATCATATGTCACTAACACTTACTGAGAAGCCCAAAGTTAGACAGAAAGATCTGTAAAAATCTGTGATTTAAAAAGATTTACAACAACAGTTGCTTCTGTAATTGTATAGTAAATGGAAGAAAGTGATTTAGGCTGTATTTGGAGTTGTTGTAAATGTAGAAGTGGAGGAGTTAGAAAAGTCTCATGTGTGTAAAAAAAACTATATATAAATGTGTGTTTAATGTAATAAAATAATCAGGCAACAGTTTTACTATTTGTCCAAAAAACTAATATAAATGTGTGTTTAATATAATAAAATAACCAGGCAACAGTTTTACTATTTGTCCAAAAAAACTAATATAAGTGTGTGTTTAATGTAATAAAACAACCCGGCAACAGTTTTACTATTTGTAAGAAAAAAATTAATATAAGTGTGTGTTTAATGTAATAAAACAACCCGGCAACAGTTTTACTATTTGTAAGAAAAAAATTAATATAAGTGTGTGTTTAATGTAATAAAACAACCTTGGACAAATAGTAAAACTGTTGCCTAAAAACTAATATAAGTGTGTAGTTTAATATAATAAAACAACCAGGCAACAGTTTTACTATTTCTCCTGATACAACTTGAATGGCTATGTATTGTTCTTGTGTACAGTTCATAGTTTATCTATATTAAAACAAAAATAGAGTCTGAAATAAATCACAGTAATTACTATTACACAGCCTTTTATTATTAGATTTTCTTTGGATGTTAGATGTTCCACCTTTTACAGGGGTTTCCTTTTTAAACTAGGCACTTGTGAACCTTTTAATATTAATTTCTGATCAGAGCAAGTTATCTGCTTCAAGTGAAACTAAAAATCGAACCCACTAATAAGTAGAACAAAAACGTTTTTTATTTGATAAACATATTTTGAAAATATTGATTCTGTTTAAAAGCAGCCTATTCTCCTTAAACCATACATTTACAAATATCTATATCAGAAGGGAAAGTAATGTGTTGTGAACTTTTGACCTTTTAATTCATGTTTCATTTATATAACAATTGTAATTGTGTCTTTGTTCTTTTACTACCTTTGGGGTGGGGCAGGAGAGAAACAAGCTACAAAAAGCACTGGAACCACCCTGGGGGTTATTTTAGTGTAGAGGTACTGTATGATTCATTGTTTGAAATTAAGAGTGGAACTGGAAACTACTGGACACCTTGGATTTCACAAGATCCAATTCAGCCCTGATTTTTATAGTGTTTTATATATTGAATTGTGAATTGGCAGTTTTCCACATGAAAGTGTGAGTCGTGATGGAATTGGCAAGTCTAATGTTGACTCAACAGATAATTCAGGGCTAATTCATTCAGCCGTATAAAGGCAATGTGGAACTTTACACATTTAACTATATAATAGTTGTTTTGTGTTTTTTGTGGTAGCTTTTTCTTACCTCCCACCCACCCCTTTTAGATAATATCCAAACATGGTTATAAGTTTTTTTGGGGGGAATTATGTCATGGCATTTAAATCTGGATAGGACTGGAAAAATCTAGTATTGTAATAAATGTGGTTTTTATTAAAGGCTAAAACTAAGGAAGTGTATAACCACATGGTGAAATCTAGTATTGTAATAAATGTGGTTTTTATTAAAGGCTAAAACTAAGGAAGTGTATAACCACATGGTGAAATCTAGTATTGTAATAAATGTGGTTTTTATTAAAGGCTAAAACTAAGGAAGTGTATAACCACACTACACCTGTTATTTTTCCACTAACAATGACACCTTTTGCCCAATACCAGGACTCATCAGACCAGCTGTGATATGACAGACAGTACAGTAATGGGTTGATGGTAGACATCTTTGTTAAACAACACACTGAAATAATGGACTAAACTGAACTGTTAGTTACCATTTGCAGTGGAAATGTAAATTTAATTGTTTACAAACACTTTAACAATAACAATTCCTGGTCAGCTAAAATACACTTCACACTACAAATTATGGCTTTAATGATATAAATAGCATCTCAAGTGAAATAATGGACTAAATTATATTAATGGTCAACATTGATGGTAGACATCTTTGTTAAACACAACACACTAAAATAATGAACTAAATTATATTAATGGTCAACATTGATGGTAGACATCTTTGTTAAACACAACACACTAAAATAATGAACTAAATTATATTAATGGTCAACATGTGTTGTGTTTAACAAGATGTTGACCATTAATATAATTTAGTCCATTATTTCACTGTGTTGTGTTTAACAAAGATGTCTACCATCAATGTTGACCATTAATATAACTTAGTTCATTATTTCAGTGTGTTGTGTTTAACAAAGATGACCACCATCAATGTTGACCATTAATATAATTTAGTTCATTATTTCAGTGTGTTGTGTGTGACTAAAAGACTTCATTTTCACGTAGTTTTCATTCATGTCACGCCTGGTTGCTAGTTTCATTAACCTAAACTTTTGTAGCTTCAGGGCCTTCAGGGTTTTATATTTTATTTTTCGTATATCATGAAACGTGTTCAAACCTATAGAAATACATCGGTAGTCAATTAACGAATTTAATTAAAGAAATAATATCAAAATTACTTTATACATCAGTACATCTTCCATTACAATTGTTGATATAAATAACATCCCAGCAGCCCTTATTAGTTCTGGTATTAGGCGAAAAGCCTCGTCGGCACTGGATATGACAGATATAGTGTGTTTGAGATATTATTACACACGAGTTCTTAAAATTAGTATATTTACGTCCTTTTGAAAGAATAATATTTTGTACTTCGTATCATCCCCATTCTTGTGTTGAAAATAACTCGTTCTTGTTTCTTCCCGACAGAACAACGCACAATGAACTTGAAAAAAATAGGTAAGGTAGTTTTCTTGTGAAATACAATTTAAATGTTTATTTTTCTAAGTTATATAGAATGCCTATTTTTAGTTTAACAAAGCTACAATATTTGTTTTAATTAACTATTGTACTTTATATTACCTATTTACTATGTGTATGTATACATGTTTAGCGTTTGTTACTTAATTCGTATAGTTATAAAACTTTTTTTTTTTTTATAATGGTTACTGTGACCAGTTTCTGTTACAATTAATTCAAGTTAAAAGCAAAAGCGTCGCTAGGTGCATAAAAGATTCGGGGGCTCGGGTCCATAGCCGCTGGAATTTTCGGCGTTTCGGTATGATATTGATCATGGTTTTCTATTCTGCTTTTAAATATATTTAAAGTTTTAAAATTTTGTATCCCGAATTAGTGACGTGGAAACTTTAAATTGTAAGAACAAAATTATATGGTTTTAAAAAAAAATATGCAAGTTTTTGGAACTGTCTTTAAAAGTCGGGTAATCTTATTTACTTTCTCTTTTTTTTCTTTTTTTTTACGTCACGGATCTACTTGTATTGCGTAGTGAGTATGGGTAGTGGAAATGGGGCAGTGTACCAGAACCGTGATAGTAAATTAATAGGATTAAACCTGATTTTTTAAGGGTTCGATTATACGTACATAAAAATTCAGTTCTTAATTAGGCTGAGATAACGATTCTCACCGAAAACAAACTGAATTCCTCCAAGATGAAACAAGGTGTTTTCTTATCTAATACTCCTCGTGTGTTTTTGTGTAAGTTAAGTAAATCTAGACTCAATTGTAAAGGATATTTAGGGAACGTAATAACGACAAGTAAACAAAAAATGCTTATCGAATACCCTCCGTGTATAACGACACGTTCGTGCTTCTGAGCGATGGCTTGGCGCCTTGCCAGGAGGTCACGTGACTTCGTCCAGCTGTATCTCGGTGCGTTTATTGTGACCTTATCGTTCGTAAAACTGGTCGTCAAAACCAGAAGAGCACGTGGTGGACTGATTTATTTGCGTACAAGTATTTGCATTGTTTTGTAGAATCGTTTTAT